AAAAAAAAAAAAAAAAAAAAAAAAAAAAAAAAAGGACACGGGACAAGAAAAAAAAAACACAGACGGACACGGGGAGGGAAAAAAACAAAACAGACAGACACGAAAATGCACGGAATATGAGCGGGAGCGACAGACAGAAATCCAAGTCACAAAATCAAGAAGTAGACCAGATAGTCATGTACCAAGCAGAGAGCACAATGCACCAAGATAACATCCAAATAAGAGCAATACAATGAACACGAGTGCCAAACTCCGACGCTCTCTGGTCACACCAACACTGTATCCAATGTCGCTCCTACTGTCTGCCGCCTAGCGCCCAGCCTATACTACTCGGCCTAACTAGACTATCTATGTTCATGCGACTGGATCACATTGAAGCTGAAGACCAAAGTACGTGACGTCATCACCGATGCCGACCGCCAGCATACACCAGGTACGTTCTCTCTCCTCCCCTCATCACCCCTCGACTCCCCGCTACATGCGCGTCCTACCCAAAGACCACCATCACCAGCACAAGCACCCGCACGCTCACCCCGGCTATGGCAGCCGTGCGCCCACTGCCATCGCAGTGCCCTCTCGCCTCTTAGCGCCCGCGTGCGCCCCAGCCTGCCTGCATAGCGCAAGCGTCGCATGGCAAAGCAGAAGCGTGGCCGCAATGCCTTCTCAGGCCAGAATGCCCCCACATGGGGCACACACTTTCCTTTATGGAAGGTGTCCGCTGCTGGCTGGCCTGTCCAGGCGTGTTGTAGGGGCAGTAGCTTGCCTCTGGCCTCAAGTGTCTGCGCCCAGGCCCAGTTTCAGATACTGGCCTGGGCCTCGTGCAGTCAGGCACGTTCAGGCAGCCACCCAGCCTCCAAGTGTTTGCAGCATTCTCATTGGCTTGCGGCATATGTGTGACGAGAATGCTGCTTCCTCATTGGCCCGTAACCAGTTGGCCTCACACAGCGTGTGCCCAGGGCGCAACCGCCTGAGCCCTGGGCTTGACTGTACAGTGCATCCCTTCGCTTCTGGAAAGAGCCTGGAGGCTCACATTTGCTCTGTAACCAACTGGCGTGCTGCAACTGTCTGAGTACCCACATATGGAAAAATGTCGAAAACAGGCCTCACGTGGATATTCAGGTGTGCCTTCACTTAGGGCGGGCACAGGCTTGCAAGGGGCCGCAGCCCAGAACCATGTCTGATAAGGGGCCCGTGAGGGCTCATTCCTCGCAAAAAACGAAATGAATCATATGTTCAGCCTCCTGATGAGTCGGTGAAACTCCGACGAAACAGTTTGTCACAGCCCCTCGTTTGTTGTCCTCTTCTCTCTCTCTGCCTACGGTTTACCGGGCAGTTCTGTTTGTGACGATATATTGCCAGAAAAGCAGCCATACATAGACCAGCCAGATTTTTTCACATACTCGGATACTTCCAAATTGCCCTCGTTGCCTCGGCATAAGCAATACATATTCCTCAAAAAGCATCGATTTGACTTT